ACTCCAGCACCGTGTCCACACCGGAAACCTGACTTCAGGGTGTCATTAAGGTCTCCTTCTTTTCGCCTTTCCCCGTTGACCACAAGACGGGATTGCAACAATGGACAGATTTTGATTCAGTTTCTGAATGCCCTTGGCTCTTTCCATATGGTTGGCATTTTCGCATTCAATGTAACTTAACTTCCCTTGCCACCGAAATGAAACAAATTGCCGAACCGTTTTATTCGCTAATGTACATATTTCCGGTCTTCGGGTTAGGAAATTTTTTTTAAATCATATTCGTGTCACGCACTTTCTTGTTTGGAGTAGGAATACGCTGCGATTCCATTGAATGGAAATTTTTGTGTGGGTGTTAAGTTTATTGTAAATTAGCCAATCGTTTTATTCTTCTGCTCCGTCTTTGGGACCTTAAACTGTGATTGAAACGATGAATGGTGTTTGAAACCTGCTTGTGTGACAATTTGTGAAATTCGTTTGCTAATAGGAGCATATACTCCAAAATAAACGAATAAGTTGAAAACATAATAGACGTTTTATGCAGTTTCCTTTATTAACTGTAAAGATAATATATTTTGTTTTAAGTAAAATTATGCATTAATAAATTTTCGTGATTATTCTTATTTACTTGAGCATAGTCTATTATTATTGTTTTTGATTTTAAGAACATATTGTAACTAAATTTTATTGATTGCAAACACATACGTATACTATCTTGTGCATTTTGGGTAGGAGTACGTCATTGTGCGTTGCATAAATAAATGAAAACAACTGTGTTTACTGTTCTGTAAAAATTTTATTTCTGAGAAGATGTGTATTTTTATTTGTAAATTTTTACATTTGATTCTGCATATTACATTTTTTTAAAAGAGATTTTTAAAACAATCTCATAAAATTTATGAAGTTTTATGAAGCAGTTATCAAATTACAGTACAATGGACATTCCCGTATTGCGCCATTTTGAAATTTTTTTGGTTAAAGATAAAATGGAAGTAAAGTTTAAAATTAATTTTGGCCTAGTAACATGTAAAAAAAGTATATGGGTATGACTTAACCAAAAGGCGTTAGCCCAGAACAGATATTAATTTCGTTTCGGCATTTTACGTTGAAAACTTTAAATGTCGGTTCACCTTTCAAATTGCTGCTACCAAATATTACAGCCCTGTACTATATTTAAAGAAATTAAATACTGAAGAATCTGCATAAATGTACGTATGTTTCCGCTTGGATAAACACGGTACTAGAGTCTCCAATTTTGAATAACGAATCCTCCATCGTATGGGCATTGCTTCCCGAATTAGGAGCTTATTATCCATTTCAAATTTTGTAAACCCTTAACTAATTTTTGATTAACAAACTCAACGATTTCAAAGCGAGCAATGGCAACACCGTACGGGGAGAAAAATAAAATTATCCCTAACGCGCGAGACTGTGTATTGAAAATTCTAAAGACATGCTGTTTTTAAACATTTTGTGATATTGTAGTTGAATTGAATTTTGTGTGGTTTAAGTGCGAAGAACAGAATATTTAATAAATAAAGGTAACACACAAAACGTTTTAAAAAAGGCCCCTTTGGGCTTCTTCGGAATGAGGGGTTTAACTCCCCGGCAAGAAAGGGGAAAACCTACATTCGCGCAGTTTTGGGTTTATACAGTATCTGAAGTCTTTAATATTTTTATTTATGTATTTATTTATTTTGTGAAGGAAGACTCGTGTTCACGGGACTGACGGGAAACAATGAAAACTCAAAGCAGACAGCTGTTCGTCTGGGTTCGAACCCAGGTCAAACTATTACCGTTCAGATAGGTCTATTTGACCACTAATGGACGCTTTAGCAGGGAAGGGGGGATGGAGGAATGCATTAAGCTTATCTTAGAAAGATAAATGCATTAAGCACACATTTAATTTTTTTTAACACAACAGTTTTTCGTACTACTTTACTTTTAAGGAAAAGTAAAATAATTGTAAACAATGTTTGAAAATTTATATTTGGTAGTTTACTAAATGACGCAAATAAAGAATTATTTTATTTAAAAAATGAAATCAATGTATATAACTAAATATTAAGATAAAGCTTTAAAAAAAATGTTTGACAATTGAAATATCAGATTCGTTTTGACACAAAGACGTCTGTGAGAAAGATCATTTGACACAAAGGTCGGTTCGAGAAAATAAAGAAATATTAATAAAAATCAAAAAAATATTTTTTTATTAATACTAGTTTTATGCAGGGGAGGGGGGGCACTCCATGAACTTTGAAAGGCCAAAACTGGGTTCTCATTCTTCAAGCAACAAAAATATTCTCTTTAATTCTTCATTAAAGAAGATGGGTTCTTCCCTCTAAATGCATAATTTTTCTTAAAAATAACGAAACTTCAGTGGATGAATTCAACCTAATTTTAAATACTTTCATATTAACACTTCTCGTCTTTCAATCATCAATGAAAGCTGCCCATCTAATTCTTTTCGACCGTAATAAAAAAAAAAAAAATGGCGTAGATGTACTGTTTGAGAATGCTTACTCACAATGGAGAACAAAGACTGAAAGACAGACATACACCGTTTCGTCTTTCGTGTAAAACAGAACACTCGGTTTTTAAAGTCACCCAATCAACGCTCGGCATCATAACCGCCATTTGGCAAGCAGCAGAAGTCAAAGTGTTTTTAATACCACAGCTGTTACCGAGTAAGCCAGCAGAAACTAAAAGAAAAAGAAAAAAATCTTCGTCGGTAGAAGCCACATATCGCGTTACTGATGGCGCATGCTCAGTTCAAGGGTTCTTTGTTCAAATTTAGAATGGTGCGTCACTCTCTCTGTGTAAGCAACTGGGCCAACTGATAAGAAACTAAATCTTTCAGCTTTCATTCATGTTTATATCTGTCTTCGCTTCTTGAAGCTTAGCTTACGCACCGCCATTCTACAAAATATTGTACAGAATTCCTTAACTTTGCATCGTTCTTTCGCTACAAATAGCATTAATTACTTGGATCGTAACTAATCCGTTCATTATTGCTTTTTTTTTTTTTTTTTTTTTTTTTTTTTTTAGCTCAGGTGGCAACAATATTTTAAAATACATTTCCGTTAAAAAGCAAAGTTGCAGGAGGAGTTACTTAGCAAAAAGGAGTGGTTGTCACTATGAGCGTGAAAGAGGAGTGGCTGGTAATTGTCGCACGAACTGTGAAAACAGTCATTTCGCTCCGCCTTGGAATGAGCTGGAGTTTGAAATATCACTATTAAATGGTTTTATCCCAATGTTGAGTTGCTGTCATTAAATGGTGCTTTAAAACTGTTCCAAGAAAAGAATTTTCCGTACTTTTCCCTATTATTTCTGTTTTGATAGATCTTTTAAATAATTGTTCAACAGTCCAGCGCGCTGGAGATAAAAATGGTTGATTTAGAACAGTGTTGCAACTTCTCATTTCAAATAGTTCAGTTTGTTAAACAAATATTTCTTAAATTAGTACAGAATATGAAATATACTTTTTTTAAAAATCTGAAAGTTTTCAGATTTGACATTACGCACAAAGGGGCGTTTTTCTAACGTTTTGTGTGTTACCTCTATTTGTAAAATAAATTCTTCGTACTCTAAACCATAAAATTCAGTTCAACAGCAATATCGCAAAATAATTTTTAAATGAGCATATCTTTAGAATTTTTCCGATTCCCCCCCCCTTCCCGTACAGTGTTGCAACTGCTTGCTTTGAAATCATTGAGTTTGTTAATCAAAAATTCATTACGTTTTACAAAATAAGAAATCAATAATACAACAAATTCCAAACTTGTACTTCCAGACGCCTATATTCGAATGGAAATGTACGTTATTCAAAATTCGATAGCTCTACGTACCGTTGTTTTATCACAATGCGATAAACATGCATACATTTATGTAGATTGCTCATTATTTAATTTTTTTAATACAATACAGGGCTGTAATATTTGGTGGCAGCAGCTTGAAAAGTGAACCAACATTTATCGTGAAACAAAGCAAAATGCCAAAACGAAATTAATAGCCCTTCTGGGCTAATGCCCTTTGGGCTAACAAATTCGAAATTTAACTTTCCACTGCCATTTTGCTGCAAGTAATTTTTAAACAATTTTTAAACCTAACTGGTTTCTTAAAATAAGCAGTATAATTATTATTTAAATTACCATAATTAGTTTTTACACATAATTTTTTTAATAAGCAACTTCGTCATTAAGATACGAAGGACAATGAATGTTTAAATTCATGCTCATGAATAATTCAAAGAAAAGAAAATCTGAAAGCTTTCAGATTTTATATTAGGCCCAAAGGGCTCTTTTTTTAACGTTTTGTGTGTAACCTTTATTTATTAACTATCATGTTCTTCGCACTTAAACCATAAAAATTCAATTCAACAGCAATGTCACAAAATATTTAAAAAGCCATATCTTTAGAATTTTCGATACACAGTCTCTCGCGCTGAAATGAAACCCTCTTTTTTTTTGAGAGGGGAGAATCTAAAATAGAATGGTGTGAATAGAAAAAAGTATAAAAAATTACACTATTGTTTGAAAATAAAAATTACAATTTGAATATTTTTTTTTTAAATCCACAGACAGGAATGCAATCTAAACATTACTACAAAATTTCATTACCATTAGATTTATTTTTCACACAATCAATAGAGAACGCAATGACTGTAAATAAAATTTTTACAACTGGGATAGTATATAATGACAGAAATTTATTTTATTTTACGCTAAAGGTATGAAATAGCATTCAGCGCTAAATATTATTAATAAATTCAGACAAAATTACTTTTCAAATCATTTACTTTGTTAGGCTGATGAACAAAGATAAACGAAAGATCTTATACACGTGGATTGGCAACAACTTATTTTCCTTTTTTACCGTTAAAAAGAACTAAATGAAAACAACATCTCCTTTTTACGCTTCGCATGTAAGAACATCATTACTTTGAGGCACACTTCTTATCCAGAAGAATTCCATAAAAGAAAATTAATCCATAGAACACTCACCCAGAGAGCTTTCTTCGGAGAGATCGCTCATGGATGGTACTTTCCTCATAGATTTGTAAGGTGGCCTTTCCGGTACACATGAGTCGTCGACATTCTCTTTTTTGATAGATTCCAAGGGAATCATGCACATTTGATCCCCATCCTGTGAATGGTAGTCCATCTCGAATTTGATCTGAAATCGAAAAAAGACTTCGTCAGGTTACCCATGGCAAGGACAAAAGTTGGAAAGACGAGAACGATATTTTTGTTTTATTCCCGTATTCTGAAAAACAACACACAAACTTAATAAAAACAAAATTCTTTCGCATTTTTATTCTTTTCTTTCGGAAATATTTAGCGAACATCACACAAGTTATTTAGTTATTTGATTTCACGACATAAAGCATCTAGTTATCATTGGACACCCCCCCCCCAACAAAAACAAAAATTTTTTTTTAAACCATTATTCCTCTACTTATATTTAATTAATTCTCTCTGATTTTACGCATAACATCAAAGGGTAATTGTTTTTATTACGTTGTGAAAAAACACCCTTATAAACAAAATTCTTTCGCATTTTATCTTTCTTTCGGAAATATTTAGCGAACATCACACAAGTTATTTAGTTATTTTCTTTCCGCAGACATAAGCATCTTAGATTATGCAGCTGGACAAAAACAAAAACAAAACTTTTTTTAAAAAAATATTATTATTTCATCTAATTATATTTAAATGAATTCATCTCTGATTTTACGCAGTAACATCAGAATTGTAATTTTGTTTTAATAAGTGTGTGTAAACAACACACACTTAATAAAACAAAATTCTTTCGCAGTTTTATTCTTTTCTTTCGGAAATATTTAGCGAGCATCACACAAGTTATTTAGTTATTGATTTCAGCACGATAAGCTCTAGGTATCAGCTGGAAAAAAAAAAAAAAAAAAACTTTTTTTAAACTGTTATTATTTCATCTAATTATATTTAAATAATTCATATCTGATTTTACGCAGTAACGTATATTTAATTATGAATATATAACGTATATCTAATTATGAATGAATGCAATTCCAGTTACTAATGAACTAAAAAGAGATTTTTTAGATAATCAAAAAATGCAGAACTTATATCATACAAATCTAATGAGGGAAAAAACGTTTTTAATAAAAAAGAAAGTTATCAATCACGGTATATGATAAGACTTTATTTCGTAAATGATTATTAGTATTTCAAGAGCTCGGGTAAAACAAAATATTTAAGAAACGCAGATGATAGAATTATTTTCCTCTTCAAAATAGTTACCTTACATTCCGGCATATAACGCGCACTTGCAAGTTCAAACTATATTTTTTTAATTTCTACGTACATTCGTCGTATTCACACACACTTCGTTACGAGGTAACCTGAAAGATATATTTTGCGATGCTGTTACCTTTTGGAGTCGTTCATTCGACGATTTTTTTTGCAGGCTTTCGAGCAATGGTATGTTAAACTTACAGGCGAAAGGGAATAAACAGTATGTGTGTGTATGGAGGAAATACTTGAGGGAGTAAATAATTCTGCAAAGAAGATGGGTTGTATTCAATGCAAATGTGCACAAGAATGTTATTCTAGGGTTTGGAGAAAAGGGGACAAAATTAGGGGTAAGAATGCTCTTCCGACGCGAATGAATTCGCGAAATTAGGAGTCAAATATTTTGTCTTTCTGTAATCATTTGAAGGTGATTTTGAAGTGAACATCGAAGGCTTTAGTAAAATCGCATATACTTTAGCTGATATATAGTTGATCCAGCGTTTCTTTTAGTAGTAAATGTGGCTTCTGCCAAACGAAACAAAAACAGTGCTGATTTCAAATATAAAGCCATTCAGTTTGCTAAATGGAAATGGAATTTGAAAATGGAAATCGTCTGCTGCAACGATGTTTGGAAGTGGTGAAAGTTCAATGGTGTGCGGAAGAAAAATAATATCACAGTAATTAATAAGCCAAAGAATAAATGTGCTTTGCAAAAAGGAGTGCCGAAATGACCTATCCTAGAAGAAAGTGTTGCGAATTCGATCCTAAAAAGACGCAGAAATCAAATTTTTGTAGGTTCAAGTTTTTCTCTTTTCAAATCTACCATTTTTATATTGGAAGTATAGCGTGCCTCTGTAAATTTAGTTCTCACTTTTTGTATTAAAAATGCGTGTTATACGCCGAGATATACGGTACTAGCCAGCCTTCGTATGGCTTTTAAATGTACTAGAAAAATGCCTAAAGCAATATCCCTTAACACAAATATTAATTATCCTAATAAATAAATTAACCAATTTGTCGTTGCAAAATCTTAAGAATTCAAATGGTATAAAGGAATTTTAAGACTTTGTTTCTGAAAAAAAACATGCAAAAGTTTTTATATAATTAAAATTATATGTAATTAAAACATAATGTAAAAAAACAAGGAAATAAACAATAAATCTCATATGTTCAAGAGAAACAGTCCAAAGAAATGAATGAAAAACTGCGGCCAAAACCACATTTCTAAAAGAATGAAACTATATCATCAGAAATCAATAACCAATCAAAATTGTGCTTTGTGGATGACACAATTCAAAATATACAAACTTCTTTGAAATTAGCTAATAAAGAGAGAGGGAAAAAAAAAAGGCGAAGGAAATTTTTTCTGTTGTGCCTCGCGAGACACATGCATGTCAGAATAAGAAGATTGCGATGTGCGTGTATAATTAATAATATTTTGTCTCATATTTTTAACAGTCAGCAGTCCAGTATATAAAGCACTGAATGAAAAACTGTTGCCAAAACCACATTTCAAAAAGAATGAATTTATACGAAATGATGTGATTTCATCAAAAAAGATAAACTAAAAAAATTCTGATTCAAATTTTGAAAAAATCTCTTCGAGGTGCACTGGCTCTTGTCTAGATGCACCTACGTACCATATTTCGTAGCTCTGGGATTATTAGCTTACACGCAACAGGAACGAAACACACACACATAGACAGACTCTTTCTTTTATTATATGTAGATATATGTATGTATCTTTGATTTAGCTATAAGTAACGAAATATCATCAAGCAATCATCATAAAAAAAAATGGTAAAACGGACCGAATTTTCGGTGGTTAAAAGGTTAAATATGGGATGCAATACAGTGTGCCAGACAAAGAAAAATGAAGTCATAATATAATAGCCCCGCACCATTTTCCTTTAATGAACTGTTTTCTAGGAATAACAGAAAAGCGTAGTCTTCATAACCCAACCCCCTTTCATACCTAAACAACAAAATGGACTTGCCTATAAGTACTTACATATGGGAAACCCTCCCCCGAAGAAATGCTGCGTGCTAGACTATACCGAAATGGGGGATGAGGATGGGGCTCTGAATTGCAACCCGCAGACGATGAACCGATGAGGGGAGGGCATTATGACCTCCAGAAGTCCCACAAGCGTGGGAATATGTTTGGAAACCTACACCCCCCCCCGGTATAACTGCTCCGTTGATTCTTATACAGATCGTGCTAGTGTGCAGGTAGAATATAAACTGGGTACAGTAAAGTTTTGTGTTAATATTTTTTTTTAAACAAAAAGTGTACAGATGCTAAAATAAAAAAAAAAAAATAAAAAAAAAAAGACGATTTTTGTCTATGTGCTTTGTTTCTTCAATAATCAATAATATAGATAACAAATTTAAACGGAATCCAGAACTCTCTTTTTTATTCGGTTTCTCTTCCTTTTTTTTTTTTTTTTTTTTTTTTTTTTTTTTTTTTTTTTCAGTCTAAAGGGCATTAGCCCAGAAAGGGTATTAATTTCGTTTTGGAACTTTGTGGCGTTTCACCATAAACGACGTATCACTTTTCAAATTGTTGCCACCAAATATTAGAGCCTGTATTATTTTAAAGAACTAAGTATGCTTCTCGCATGTGATAAAACAACGGTACCTAGAGCCATCAATATGAATAACTAATCTCGATCTGGGCATCTGGAAGCCAACATTTGGATCTGGAATTATTTGTTACCGATCAATTTTTAAACTTTAATGAATTTGCATTACAACTAAACGTTTCAAGCAGCAGGCAACACTGTACGAAAACAAAACAACAAAACAAAAAAAAAAAAATTTCTCCACGCGTAATGTGTTCGTAATTCTAAAGATATACCTTTTAAATATTTTCCGATTTGCTGTTATAGAATTTTATGGTTTAACTGCGAAAACATTTATTTAATAATAAAGATGACACACAAAACTTTAAAAAAAGGCCCATTGCGCGTAATATAAAATCTAAAAACTTTATTTTTTTAAAAAATTCATACATTTTTGCTGTTAAAATATAATAATTAAAAGTTATTTTGATTAAAAGAAACATAACTGACGTTTAGTTTTCATTTGAGTAAAGCAAAATGTTGAAAAATGTTGTTAGTTTTTTTTAACTGATAAACTCTGAATTGATAGGACTCATTATTTTCTTGTTCTAAACACTTACTCAATCTTAAGGTAAAATACATTTAAAAAATGTTACTATGAATTTAATTCTAAATTGAATACATATTTTTTTTTATTTAAGTACTTTTAGACAAGTTTCCTGATCGATTAAAAATTTAATGTTTCTGATTTAAAAAATAATCCAAAATGGTATTTTTAATAGATACTATTAGTAACAAACACAAATATTTAAACGAATTTCATCAGTTACTAAGGAATTTAAAGTTTTAATTAATACATATATGACTAGCAATTTGTCCTAAAATTTCGTCATTCGATTTTTTTATGAATTCTATTAATAATTCAATAATAACTTTATATAGTCATTAGGTTATTTCGAAGCAGGAGAGATGAAAAATGTGCAGTGTCCTGGCCGGGACTCGAACCTCGGACCTCTCCAATACCTTATATCTTTCTTAATTTTTTCCACCCATCTAAAATTATATGATTAAACTTTACAAATATTTCATTAATTAAATATTAACAAGTCTATTGAATTTGTAATCTTCAAGTTCACGTTGTCTATTAAAAATGCCCCCCCCCCTTTTTTTTAAAGAAATCATCTAATATATTATATTTTATATATATATAATAATTTATGTAATCAATCTCATTAGTAGATACTATTTCGAAGCTTTGTAATTTTCGATTCGGGGTAGGGTTCGCCCGGATGTCTTAAACACCGTTCCACAAGAGGTACAATCATTAGAGCATTCAAAT